AAATAGCTCAAGTTGTCGTTTGATGTTGTTTTCAAACTTCGCTCTCGTGTCCGCCAAAGATAATATTTTCCGTGTGATTCTTTGGTTGCTTTTGCCACCAGATCTTCGTATGGTACTCTGTTTCGAACAGGGTAGCATGCCAACAACAAGGGGGTGATTAGTTGACAACACTCTGCCTCTCGTAACGCGAACATCCAATACAGTGCATCGTAAGTCAGACGATGCGATTGTCAAATCGGTCATCGACTTCTGTGCACAAGTTTCACGGTGCCAGGTATACCGATGCCCTCTTCGATGCTCGAAGAAGGTGTACATAATAGACTGTAGGTTGTTCGCACAAAATCGCAGCAACTTCATGCCGTTACTGTTGAGGTCGCTACTGCCGTTCTTTCCAACTGCGCATTTCCACCTTTTATCGCCTACTCTGACTTGCGCATTGAAGTCACCCATGACAATGAGGCACTCCTTAGTCGGAATTTCATGCAGAGCAGATTCCAGTTCCTCAAAGAGCAACTCATTCTCCTTCCTAATTGAGCGCTTATACTGTAACGATATATCTTTAGCCTATTTTAACCTTCAATCAGAAGATTACCACTCTTCTGCTGATAGACTACCATTCAGTGATTCAGTCAACCAAATTGATTTCTACTCGAACACCCATTCCAGCCTGTGCGCTCTTTATAATATCGACACCTAAGTAGAATTGCTTCCACCCGCAGATGTCAGGATTCTAGAGCCTTACGGCTTCGATGACGAGAGTCCAACTATGTCGAGTTGGTGCCTTGCATCCTCATTGTCTAACTCATGTTCTTTCCCTCTGAGTGAGGATATATTTTAATTTCGGATTGTAAGCTCCCATAGTCGGCATCGTTCCCGTGGAGCCTTATGCAACGTGCTATAATTGCCTCGCACTGTCTGCCTCATCCGTTCAGAACCGGTAGCAACTCCGTTGCTGACTGGTTTTTTCGTCGTTGTTTCTTCGGTCTTCGGCAGTCGCTATGCCCCCGCTGTCAAAACCCAATGAGCAGGTTCTGATCCGCTACTTTTCGCTGCCTGTGCGGTCCTTGGCATCGCGAGTGATGGACGGAAATACCGTGATTCTCATAGTGGCAGATGACTTAGTTTTACACAGACTTGGGTGTGGCAACGGCCGAGTTACTGCCTAACAAGTCACAAAATAAAATTTCTGTGCGTAATAATAAGCATGGAAACCGATTTTACATTTTTTTCTGATAGTTTTTCTTTGGCAGGATTCGTCGTCTTGCTCATGACCTTCAATGACTGGATGAACTTTGATAAAGTGTTTTAGGAAATTACTGTTCTTTTCTACAAAATTGTTCGTGTATTGAAAATTTGCTGCGCATAGTGTCTAGTCATTTCAAAGTTGTTTCATGCACATAACACTGATTTGCTATTTCTTTGAAGTTGTGAGTATGTTGTTTATGAAGTAGTTTGCCTTTAGAATTACCGGCAGGTGTTGGCTGCAAGAATCCGACTGAGGGTAGATGACGTCAACGATCATTCCAGCCGTCTTCTGGCTGACAACGTTTGCTTGTCACCGAGCATGATCAAAACCCTCGAAAATCTGAACTTAAAATACAAGCAACTCGAAGCGGCTGTTTGTCACCGAGTGGCAATGTTGCAAGACGCCCTGCATGACTTCGGTCCTTCTTCTCAGCATTTTCTTGAAAGTATGGTCGGCTCTGTTACCGTTTGTTCTTTAAAAAAAATCACTTTTCTAGGTTCAGTATCATTGCCTTGGGTGCGAATGGTGTCTCCTGCTCGAGTTCCTTACTATGTCAAGTACGATGGTTTGTACTGTTATGACTGGTTTCGAATATCAATATGCCGGACTTTAATTGGAGACATTTTTCATTCAGTTGGCTTAGTTTATATGAAGTTAAAGCAATGATTTACACAGCGCGTTATGGCTTGATTATAACAATTTAGAGCTTTAAATTTCGTTACCATTGAAAAACTGAAAATTTTCATTTACCGTCTGCAAATGCAGCGCGCAGAAGCGAGAAAGCTCTTCCTAATGGATTATTTGAATCTAAAAGTCGCACGGTTTTTGTTCTGTCTTTCAGCAACTCTTTCTACTTATCCACTGAATTTTTGTTCACCCAGCTTTCGGGCTTTCATTGACCTAGCCGTACTTTCTTGTACCGCCCACTTGTTTTTTTCAAAACCTTTCAGAGC